TAATAATAACTAAATTAAAAAGGATGAATGTTTGGCTGAATAAATCAAGCTCCTCAGATACACTTTTGTAATTGTAAAATTAATTTAATAATTTTCAATTTCTAGCATTTTGCATTAATGCTAATGATAAAAATTATTTTCGGTGTTTCTTATCAGTATTAACATTCATCATTAATTTTAATAAATATTAATCTGAAACAAAATCATTAGAGAAGAGAAAAAAAAAAGGGGGAGAAATGCAAAATAAGCAAGAGTAAATTAGAATCTAGTATAATCTGCAAATAAATAAATAAATAAATAAAATAAGTTACACAGATCAGTAACATAATGAGAACATTTAAGTTACCTGTCTTTGCCTTTAATTTCAAGGCATGTACGAGCGTCATGACCAACTTTGCCACAATTGCGACAATGCTTGCCTCCACTTTTAATTGCCTTATCTCGCATACTTAAAAGTCGTTTGCGGCCACGAACTACACGATTTGTCGTTGGATCACTTACAAAACCCTCACCTTTGTGCTCTTTTCCCGAGCATGACTCTTGTGTAGCATTGGGGGTCACAACTTCATTCCCTTGTATTTTTGATTCCACTTCTACAAACATTTTGTGTAACATTATAGTAGATTTCTCCGTCAAAGCAGCCTTTTCGATCAACCATTTCCACTTCTCAGTTAACCCTCGGCTACGCTCTAAATATCCTCGCTCTTGGGTGATTGGAGAAACGATTGTTTCAAAAGAAATTGGTGATCCTACCTCTTGTGTCCAACGAGACAAAATATATTCTTCTGGCAACAACTTGATTTGCATAACCTATATAAAAAATAGCATAAAATAAAATGATATGCATATAAAATTCTGTTGTAAATCATTACATACCATAAATTAACAAACAGGATTAGCCAATTAGCCAAAAAAAATCAAGTCGAACCAATACACATTATTAGTAAACTATGGCTAGCTAAAAAATGTGGGTTAACACCTGTTTGAGCTGAAAATGCGACTAATGCTCGTTTGTACCAATACACAACTTAGAGGTCTTATTTATTTATTTATTTATTTTTTGTGTGTTATCAGTTCAGTTTGGTTAAAAACAAGCCCTAATGAATGATCAACAATCTCCAGTATAAAAATGAACTCAATAACGACGGAAAAGGAAAAGGGGGGCTAGGTAATAGAAAGCAAACTAACCGAAGATAGCTCAGAATGAATAACGGATTAAGAACAAGCGGAAGGATTAACCAAAAGAAAATAAAGCCATGAAGAAAATCCATTTAATGAACAAAATTGCTACTTTAGAGTTTCA